GGTGACTGAATCTCAACATCATTCAAATTATGTTAAACTTTCGGTTGTTGCCAAGAAGTGACTACATCTAAAATTCCTACTGAATTTCAGGTTTTTTAAAAAAATAATTAAATTTCCTGACAGTTTTCTGGTCTACTGTCCTGTAACTCTAAGTGACATCAGAAATCTTCCCCATATCTTCTATTAAAGATGGGATACTGGAACCTGGGTAGAAAACAGAAACAGAGTTTCAACTGGGCGATTTGACATAGAATTTGACCTGAGAAAACGATCCGACATCAAGAGACCGAACTCATCACCACAGACCACCATCCTCCCTGTTGTGAGGTAATTCAGTTTTTACATCATGTTAATAAATACTCTGAAACCTTTGGTGCCTTTGATTGAGCATAAACTATAGTTTGATATTTTGTCCATTTTTCTTTTTCAGAATAGCCATAAAACTTTAATAATTATAAATGGCTTCCAAATAACATCCAATGCTGTGAATTGATTTTATCTGTAACAGAAACCAAAGAGATTCATGGAGTAAAAAAATAATGGATTAAAATCAGTCAAGATGCTGAAGATTCCTGATCTAAATAAAATAATTTGAGCAGATTTTGCTCAGGTGACTTTGTGATGTTTGTTTTCTGTTTCTCTCAGAGTTCCCTCAAACTGTCAGAGGAATATCAAGTTGTTGACCTTTGACCCTGATAGAGATAATGTTCAATGCAGATATGCATCCTATTCCTCAGAGTGCTTCACCTGCACAGCACCGTCTGTCCTCAGTCTCTCATCAGTGAGTAATAAATGTCAGGAATGCAATAGAAAATAATTTAACTAACTATAAATGACTAATGATGAAAAATTACTCCGAAGATGTTTAAATAAAAACAAATTTTGTTGGTATGAACAAAAACACATTAAATATAACATAGTTAATCTCTCTCTCTTCTCTTCCAGTCTTGTTCTCTATCATTCAGTCCAACCAGCAGCAGCTATGAAGGTTCATATGCAGTTCAGCTGATGATGGAGGATTTTACCAGATGGAGCATCACTCTGACTCGATATGATGGTTACTCGTCTTCACTGAGCACCACCACCTCCATCAGCGAAATCCCTGTCCAGTTTGTTTTCAAAGGTGTGATTTCATGTTTCCATCAGGTTGTTTTACTGCCAAAGAGCAACACTGGTGTCAATAAATTTTATATCCAATAACTATTTTTAAAACTAATCAAAAACTAATTTCTAAATACAGAAATGTAACGCAACCCAGCCAGCATGCCTAGGTGGGCCCCATGTGGTGAAAAGGAGGGGTGATATATGGGTCCCATATTGGTTTGTCCTCGTTTTCCGCACATCGGGCCCACCTAGGCATGGTGGCATATTATAAAAATGACTAATGAACCAATTTGTAACTTTACTGAATGTATTTTTTAAATTAATTGTCCACTTGTTTGACTAGTCAAACCATTTTAATGTCTTTCATTAGTTCATCTGCATTATTTTTCCCTGCGTTGCTCCAGTGGATCCTGCAGCTCCGTCCTGCACAGCAGGTGAATATCTGCCCAGGTTTCTGCCTCCAACTCCTGAACATGGAGCTCAGTTCTTCATAGACGTTAATGAGATGATAGAAATCAACATCAGAGCAGAGGCGACTCAGTCTGAGTGAGTAGAAAATAAATGTTGTTTCTAATCAGAGGAAAGTTTTGACATAATTCAAGGTGAAAATCACATTTTAAAGATAATATTTAAGGCTGTTTTGAGGACATTTTGCACATATAACCAAACAGACTGATGTGTTTCCTGTGTGTTAAAGGATCACTGAGCTGCTGTTCAGCGGACCGATCAACATGGTCAAGAGTTCATCTGGTTCAGGATATTTCACCCTGAGATGGACGCCGTCTGCCATTAATGACGATGAAGAAACCCATCCCATCTGTTTTGTTGTCCAGGCAAAGTCAGTATCTGATCTGATCAGAAGTTTCAAAAGTTNTTTATTAATTGCACAAAAATCACTGTGAAGGTTTGGTGGTGAGCCACTATAAATTACCTGGAGAGGAAACCCTGTAAACTTTACATAAATTGGCTTAAACACACATTGAAGTCAAATGAAGCGCAGTTTGAGTCAAATTACGGACATCTAGCTGACTTAGATAAATGGGGATTTGTCTCCATCATGTGGCCAGATAGAATAATTACACTGTGGGTGAAGGTTGGTTTTCTGTTGTTCATGCATCCCAATGGGAGCGCATGGAACAAAAATTCAAAGGCCCCTAAAATGTGCTAATGTGCGGCCCCCACTTCTAGAAACTTTTATTTTGCATCTCGCATTTGCAAAAAATTTGCTCATCACTGACCTTGATGCATTACACAGGTTTATCCTTAATGATTGTAATGTTCTTAGTGCTTGATTAGTCAAACATATTTCACATATCAGGATTAATAATTTAGTTATTTATTCAAGAAAATGAAATCAGCAGCAGTTTAGAGCTGAATGCCACCAATGTTAGCTGAATGCTAATGAGACTGAAACTGGAATAAACCCAACATTGTTACCATGCAAGATGTAACTCAGCCTACCAGTATGCTAATTAGCGATTTGCAAAGCAAACAATGAGAGCTACCACAATGCTCAGTATTTGCATTAATAATTTAAATAAACACAAAGTTGGTGTGCACAAAGTTAGTTCACATCACTTGATTAATCATTAATGCACATTATAACTTAGATTCTATTATATGCAGACGATGTGCAAACAGAGACGAGGTTATAGTGACTTTATCTCCTGTCTAAGGTAATTCTGACCATCAATAAAAACAAATATCTCTGCTACTTGATCCACATCTCTGCAGCAAAACTCTAAAGAGAAACAAACAGAAGAGCTCTTGTATTTTCCTGTTTTTATGTCTTTGAACTGGTTCATTTTAAAATCCTGACTAACTTTCAACTTTTAATGTTGGTGTAAATTTGTACATGTGAGGATATGATGAAACAAATTATACCAAACGAGGTAAAAAATTATTTTTAATGGAAAGTAAAATAAACATTAACATTTGTTAAAGAAAAAGTATTTTGTAAATTGACCTTTTTGAGCTTTACATCATGTTATTATGTTGTTCCCTTGTCTAAAACACACCTGGAGTGTTGCTTTGATTCTTTCATGCACATTTAAATCCTTTAGTCTCCATGGCAACCGTTCAGCTGTGCAAAACCCCTGAAGGGACCCAGCTCCGCCTTCGATTCACAGCTCCACCTTTGATGCAATTTCCAAGCTTCAAAGCTCAGACCCCAAGCAGCAGCCCTCCCCCACTCAGCTCCTTCAGACTAGCCAGCAGCAATTAGCGAACACCTGGTGGATGTTTGCATCTGCTGAGCTCAATATGTGATAAACCATGGCAAAAATGGGAACAAGTCGGCAGAGCATAAATGGAGAAAAAGAAGAGCATACCATACATTCCTGAGAAAATATTGATTTTCTTCTTTTTTTCTTTCTTTGTGTAATAAAAACCACATACTTTAAATAGCAGTTTTAGAGATTTAGTAAACTTTGTGTTTGTATTCAGCTGGAATGCTCAGTTTATATCCATGAACAATTTAAAAAATCAACTGAGACACAAGAACTGTCCAGAAAAGATGAATATTTAACTCTGTAGGAAATATATTTATTGTTTCTCACAGTTTTCAAATAAAAATGTATCTTCTTAAAAGAAATGTTTGTCTGATCATTATCAAATGTAAATGCAGTCCATAAAAACAGTGAACAGCTTGAATGAAAAAGGAGTGACTGCAGTTTTACTATCTATGTGCCGTCATCCTGGTTCTAAACATCTTATAACGTTTTTTTATTTAAAATGCATTTGACATGAGATGCTGCAACAATAGTAGAGTGAGCTTCAATGCTAAAAATAACAAACAAAAGAAAGCTATGTTAAAATGAACTAAGACTTACTATTTGAAAGTAAATAAACCAAATGACAAAAGTTTACCTTCCTAAAAAAAATGAGGAGAAAACTATGTGCAAAAATAAATAGCAGCTCACTCCTACAAACTCTTTTAAATATAAAGCATCACGTTGTCGTCTCCGGTCGTCAGGTGTTTGCATAACCAAAGCACCTTACGACAGCAGAGCCACAAAGGTTACCTGATGATTCCATCTTAGTTTAGCAGAACTGATTTGTTCATCATGTTGCTCTTTGTCCTGCTGCTGGTGATAATCGGCTGTACGGAAGCTGGTTATACTGGTGCTGTGCTTTCATTCACCACTAAAGATGTACAAGGAGGCAAATTTACAGTAAGTTCTCTGATTTTTTTTTTTTCCTTTTTTAAAACATTTTTTTATTGTATCCAACAGCTCTTCACCTGAATCTACAGGTTGTGCGTCGCTACAAGATTGGCTACAGCTCATGTGAGGAGACTCAGTCATGGTTGTGTCCTTGCTGTCCTACGATTGATGAAAGCAGCGGTGAATGGTGTCTGAGAGATTACACTTGGAAGTGGACAGATCCAAACTTTGACTACCACTATAATAGGTGACTGAATCTCAACATCATTCAAATTATGTTAAACTTTCGGTTGTTGCCAAGAAGTGACTA